CCGCAGGGGGGGCTAGGGCGGGCCCCCCTGGGCAGGCGGGACCCAGCCTCTGCCTGCCACGGGCAGGGCACTGCTGACCTCCTCCTCTCTTTCTATCCCCCCTCTAGGGAGGAAGGTGCTGACCGACTGCTCCTGGCTCCGGGGTTTGCTGCCCATGGGCTCAGCAGGATGATGCCAGCCGGCTGAGAGCCCCCCGTACCCGTTGTGGTGCTGATGTGACTGAGCCAGGACCTGCAGCACCGAGCCCGGCACAGGGAGCGCAGCAGCTCGTGGCCCCCCCAAGCGGGCCCTGCCACCCAAAGATGAGCGATGGTGGATGGATCTCGCTCAGCCCCACAGAGTTTGCCCAGCTCCAGCAGTACACGGACTGTGAGTACTCTGCGCCCCCTGCACATCCCGCCGTGGGACAGGGGGAGGGGTTTTAAAAGTCCTGTTGATCTGTTCTGGACTGGTGTCCTGCACGTCCTTGGTGTCCTTCTGGAGAACTAGATGACTTCTTAAATTTTGGGTGGGGAGGCTGGGAAGGTCCCTGACCCGCAGCACTGGCTAGTGGGGCACGGCAGAGGAGTCTCCATGCCTGCACGCCCGGGAGGATTTAGCTTAGCACAAGCCCCCGCTGCTTTGGGCGACGCACACGTGAGCACGGCTCAGTCCCTCCGAAGGCGGCCGGCTCCCACGTTCGTTTGCAAAGCGAAATGCCACCGAGGAAAGCAGACTGGCTTTTCCTAAACACGCTGAGCCGCTCCGCGGCTCGCCTCAGGTTGCCAACCCTCTGCAGTAATTTTACTTAGTGCTTTTGCAAAGCAACCCTCTCCTTCAGCTCCTGTTGAGGAGAGGACATTGGTGGTGGTGCTGTGGGGTCCTGGGGCTGCAAGCAGCTCGGGAGGGAGCCTGGGCAAAGCCCAGGGGTCCAAAACCAGGTCCTTGAGGTCCTGCCTACCAGAGAGCCAGTGTGCGGGTGTGCTCCTTGCGGCAGGCAATGGAGAGGTGATGCAGCCTGGGGAGGTGCTGAGAGCAGGGCAGGACGGGCAGGAAAGCCCAGCCAGGACCGCGGGACAAAGGGAGAAGGGGTGTAAAATCTCAGGGGCATTGCTTTGCAGGGGCAGCATGGCCACGGGGTGAGCAGGCTCCTGCAGCTGCACAGGAGAGGAGTGGGAGGCAAAGGGGACCTCATGAGCACCCCGGGGCTGTCCTTGGGGCTGCTGCGCATTGTAGGGGTGAGGTGAACAGGGTCAGGGCCGACAGCATGGGGAGGCACAATCTCCCAATCCAAACAGCACAGTGCAAGCTGCCCCCAGCCCCCTGCCTGCCTGCCAGACAGCCCAGGCAGGGGCAGGCAGAGCTGCGGACAGAGGTGTGTGTGCAGCATCACTGTCTGCATCTCATCCTGCCTCTCCAGAGAACGGGCTCTGTTTTCTTGAATCACGGACCATAAAACACCGTCTGTAATGCTGAGCTCAGAACACATACGGCATCTTAGTTTCGTTAATCAAAGTTTGGCAAGTGAGGCTGCAGCATGGGCAGCTGCCTCTTCCCCAGGAGGGTGGCCCGGCACCGGGCTGGGGAGCAGGGCTCAGGGGTCCTCCCCAGGTCCTCCCCAGCCCTGGGGCCAAGAGCCCCCTCCTCAAGCGCATGCTGGCCCCTGGTTGTGCTTCTGCAACCCCCAGACCTGCCCCAGGCATCCTGGACAGTCATGGTCCAGCACCGAGCTCCATCCCCAGCGGAGGGCTGGGGGCAGCAGGAGCCAGCACAACCCCCACTCAGAGAGAGGATTTCACAGTAATTAACAGGGCTGGCGTGTTCGAGAGCCTTTTAAGTGGACATGCCCAGATATATGTGTCTGAAGGCTGGGGCTTAACGTTCCCTGTCCTTGATCTTTTTTTCTGTTTTCCCCTTATTTTTCAATTTTGGAAGGACCAATGTCCCTCCAGACACTCCAGCCCTGAGGGCACCCAGCCAGGGAAAGTCATGGGCCATTTACTATCTGTATGGAAGTCTGCACGGAGCAATGCCATTCTATTTCTCCCTCCTGGCACCTCCTGGAGATACCGATGGGCAGCCCAGGGCGGGCTCTGGGGACAGCTCGGGCTGCCAGCAGGCACCAGCTCTCAGCGCAGGGTCAGCCACCCAAAGCCTGTGCGGAGGGGCCGGAGCAGGGACGGCCAGGCTTTGTGCTCAGCATCGCCCCCAGAGCAGCCAGGGCCGGGGAGTGGTCCAGGCTTTCCTTGCCACAGCTTCACTTTGGGTCTGCGTTTTTTTTCATATAGGTAGGAGGAAGAGGACCCATCTCTGCTGGCAAGCTTTACATACATACCCTGCACTCCAAAGTTGGGGGGGAAAGCAGGACATGGTTCGCCCCTTCCCAGGCATGGAAAGGACCAGAAATTGCATATCCAGCAGATAAACTTGTCTCTGCCATCCTGAATGGTGGTTTAACGGCGAAGGGGGCTTGCCGGCACCGTGATCAGTGCCATGCCTTTGTCTCCCCAGACTCCACCAAGAAGCTCAAGGATGTCCTGGAAGAATTCCATGGTGATGGCGTCCTCTCGAGGTACAACCCTGAACAGGTATGGCCCTGTCCTCTCCAGCCTCTCCCCATGCTGCTGGCAGCTCCCGGCCCCCCACCAGCTCCCCCAGCCCAGCTCCCGCAGCTAAAAGCAGCCGGGAGAAGGCAGCCCTGTCTGTCTGCTCCCCTGCTGCTCCCCATGGGTGTGCTCACAGGCATGGGAAAGATGCTCCCACAGATGGGGAGCATCTTCCCCAGCCACATCCCCCCCCGGCCATCCTGCGCTTGCTTCGCGGCCATCCCACCCCATCCCACCGATGCTGCTGGGACCCCGCAGCCGCACTGCCATCCTATGCTGGCTGCAGGCTGCCTGGCTGAGGGCGTTTTGGGGCATCTCCTTGCCAGGCAGAAGCCGGGAGGGATTTACTCTCTCTTACTCCAAAAGCAAATGATTTTGCTGTTGCCAGCGTGGCGGCAGGGGAAGGCCCTGTGCCTTCTTGCTCTCGCCTGGGGAAGGCTGGGGTTATTTTTTCCAAGCGGTGCTTTCAGAGAGACCTATTAGCATGCCAGCAGGACAGAGCCTGTCACGGGGGCCATAATCACTAGAAACGAGGCGAAACATGAAAAATCAGTGGGCTGAACGTGGCAAGGAGGGGCAGCAAAACTACCCCGCTATTCAAGGGCGCCACAGGACCCTCACTCCAGCTGGGGCCGTAAAAGCCATCAGGAAGGCAATGTCCCAATGCGATGGGGATGCCCAGCAGGGAAGGAGGAGGCAAGGAGACCTCAGGAGGATGATAGTCCCCAGGGGCTGGGGGTGGGCTGCCGGGTCCTGCTGTTCTGTGCCCTGCCCTGGGGGGGTGGGAGGCTTTCAGAGCACAGCTCGTTACACCCCTCTGCCTCCAACACCCCCAGCCTCCTTTGGCTGTGCCAGAAGGTCTGTATTTAGTTCCTCAATCATTTCCCAGGAGCTGAGCACCCAGCTCCATCAGAGCTTCTTGCCCCTCCACCGAGCTGCCCACCATCTGCAAGGGTCTGCTGGCTACAGACCCCTGGGGCAGGTGAGCTGGCTGCTGCCCCACCGCCTGCAAGTGCTGTCCTACCACAGCTCTGCCCTTGCCTGTCACTCCCCCAGCTCCTACCCCGGCTCCCAACGCCACTGGCCTGGCTCAGTTGTGCTGGCCCCTGGCAGCCAGCCAGCACTGGGGATTTCTGGCCCTGCTGTCTCTGGGTCCCTTTAGGTTATATGCCGCCATCGGGATTTGGGGATCTGGTGGTTTTGGGCAGGGCTCTGCAGCTGATGCGCCCGGTGAGGGAGACCCAGGGTACGGGACCCCCCAGCCGGCAGCTCTGCACCCCCATGGTGTGCCCAGGGCACCTCCATCATCTTCCTCTGTCCCCTCCCCAGCCCATTGACTATGAGGGCTTTCGCCTCTTCATGAAGACCTACCTGGAGGCAGATGTGCCCGAAGAGCTTTGCCAACACCTCTTCACCTCCTTCAAGCGTAAGATATGCCAAGCCTCCCCTGAGACCCAGCGCCAGAGCCCCAGCGTCTCACAGCTCAACACCCTTGGTGAGCCAGCCCTGCCCCTGCCACCCAGCCGGGCACGCCGTGGCACCGTGGCATGTTGGGCTCGCTCCCACGCTGCCCCACGGGGATGAAGGTTGCGGAGTGGCACCCGCAGTGCATGGTATTGGAGCGCAGCTCTGTCCCATCCGACGGACAGGCTCCCAGGGACCCTGTGCTGCTCTGGGGAGGAGAGGGCTTTCCCTGGGGTGGCGACCCAGAGGGCACCATTGCACTGATTTCTCCCTTTCCTCTGAGTGTTCAGAGCCCAAGTCTCTTGATGTTGGCATCTCCATCCAGACCGAGGTGGCCTGCACCCGTGTCACAGGTACTGGCGTGGGCAGCCACTGAGCATGTGGCTGCGCCCGGAGCAGGGGACGTGTGCCAGGCACCCAGCTTCTGCCTCCCCTGGCCCCTGCCCGGGTGGATTTGCAGCGTGTGGAGACATCTGGTGAAAGGACTATAAACTGCAAAAGAAAAAGGAGAACCCTCCCTGGATGCTTGGCTGCTGCATCGGGACATGGTGGCAGGGGACCACATCCTCCCCACCTGGTCCCAAGCACCGTGGCACCATGGGACGGGAGTGCTACTGGGAGCCACTGGGCCAGACAGGAGGGTGAGGGGCTGCCTGCAGTGCCCCTCAGAGAGCCCTGGGTCCGAGATGCCAGCCTGCTTTTGGGCTAGCAAAGAGGACCCAGGGTGAGCGACCGGCACCCAGGCGGGGCTCCTGGAGGAAGAGGTTTGCCAGGCACAGGCACTCTGGTGTCACACTGCCCACAGGCATATGTTTGCTTTTCAGGGATCAATGGGAAAACACTCCTAAGTGCCCTGGGACGACGTACTCCTGAGCCCAAGAGCTGCCACAGCAACGTGGCTGAGCCACAGCCAGCGTCCCTCACCCCAGCATCAATCCCCAACGCCTCCCCCAGCTGGTCCAGGTCATCCTCCCAGAAGTCCACCACTGGCACCCCTTCTGCTCACAACTCCTCGGGCTCTTCGAAGATCTCCTCCGGGTCCCTGCTAAGCCCTCAGTCGCCAGGTGAGCTTGGCTGGGGCTCCATGGGGGACACGGGCAATGACAAGCCCTCCTTGGTTTCCCAAGCTGCAGAGCTTGCCCCAGCGGTGCAGCTGGTCAGGTCCCCAGTGCAGTGGTGGTGACCTTCCAAACTCGGTGGGTTCCTGGCATCTTGACGCCTTTGCTTTGCAAACTTAAGCCACAGAGCCCGTCCCACAGAGCCCGTCCCACAGAGCCCGTCCCACAGAGCCCCCGCTGGTCAATGTCTTAATTACCTGGCAGCAGCTCCTAGCAAGGGGGGATTGGAGCAGTGACTCATGGCTGCCTCCAGCCAAGCTCCTGCCAGCCACCAACGAGCGGAGTGCTGGGAAGGGCCCCTCTGCCAGGAGCAGCCATCTGCCGAAGGCTGCCGCCGGTGCAGGCAACCGCGAGCGTGGGCTGTCCCGGCACCCTGGTGAGCTGCCCCGCGGCCAGCCGAGCTTCTCGCTCCTTCTGGCTGGGTGCTTGTCCCCAGCAGGGCATGTCCCCGTGGGCTCCCACCGCTCATCCCGCCCATGCCCGCAGTGCCGGAGGTGCGGGGGTCTGCGCCCCAGGGACCGACTGGCAGTGTTCAGCCCTGCTCCTGTGATGGCACCCAGCCCCGCGTCCTCCACGCCTTGCCCACCGCACGCTGAATGGGTCCCTGCCCTGGAGTTCGTGTGCTGTCAGCCCCATTTGCCAGCTGGGGACGTCTCCTTGTTCCCCTGTGCATGGCCTTCATCCCTCCCTCCCTGCCCACAGGCACAAGGAGTGTGGAGAAGAGGTTACCCTTCAGCCTGCGGAAGAGCCACAGCTCCTTGAAAGCCGCCCTGCCGCCGACCCCCACCCCCCTGCCCCCGGTGGTCCACC